AGAGTGTACTGACCCCTGGGGTAGACAGCAGAAGTCTTTGGATCGATGACTTCCAGACAGTGTTTTCAGTTACTTATGTTAGTGCTTTTATGTATTAATAAATTATTAATTTATTCAGCTATTAGGGTTTAAGAACAATTCGGGGGTTTCCCACGTGCGCTGAGACGCTGAGGGCATCATGTTGTAAGGAGATGGGGGCTTTGGTGACTCGCGCAATCAGAAATTTGAACCTAGAGAACCGAGCGGAATGGGAAATCAGCAAGATGAAACCCTCTTCTGCTCCCATGCACCCTTCCACCAAGAGGCTCCTGCAGGAACAGATGATCCGCCATCCAGAAATTAAGGGAGAGACTGACAGAAAAGATGACAAGTTGCTATCATTACTGAAAAACGTGTACGTTGATTATAAAGATCCTGTGGCTTTTGTGCAGGTAAAAGATGCCGAAACATGTCAAGAGCCTAAGGAATTCAGATTGCCAAAAGGCCATCACTTTGATATGAACATTACAAACATTCCCAAAGGCAAAACTTCTATTGTAGAAGCATTGACGCTGCTCAATAATCATAAACTTTATCCAGAAACACGGACTGCTGAGAAAATAGCTCAAGACTACCTATTAGAACAGAAAGATGTAAATTCTCTTCTCAAATATTCTGTTACTTTTGACGTCAAAATCTTCCCTCCTGAAGACAAGAAGGCAGTTCAATCAAAATGAAGAAAACCATGGAATTATTTTTCTATGTGTAATCCCCATCCCTGTATCCTGTTGATTTCTATTTTAGCACATTAAATTAGATAAATTACCAAAAAAAGAACAATTTGGAAATTTTGATAAATACTGTTTTCTAAGTCATATTTGCATTTTGGTGGTTTCCTATCACTTCAGGATAATTTTTAAGATTTTACCCTGACCTTGAAGGATAAAATATTTCTGAAAATTTTAACAAATTTTTAAATTATAAAACACAGATAGGAGACTGGCTGAGGGAAGAGGGAGAGTCTGCAGATGGGGAGAAGACTTAAAGGTTTACACTGTGTCTTAGAACCCATGCCCACGCTCTGCCTCCTGGCCACTCTGAAATCTGATAAAATTTTACTGAAATCTGGAGGAAAACATAAGACACAGAAGTTAAAAGCCTGAACTCTGACTCCAATAGGTGTTTTTCTTCTGCTTTGGTTCTGACCAGTATCAACCTAACCTTCAGTACATTGCTTAATCTTGGGGCAAGTCATTTCCTCCTCTGTAAAATGAGTTGTGAAATTTAAAAGAGGAAAAGCCTGGTATCTAACAGCCCACACATGATAGCAATTCTTATGAGTTATGAAAGTTCTATTAAGGTAGGACCAACCCTGTAGTGCATTGGCTCTGCACAGAGGCTGTTGGATTCCACATGGCCAACCAGAGTTCAAGACCTAGCCCTGTCAGTATCATACCACATGCGTGTGCACTACCCAGGGTCCTGTTGTGATGAAGGGTTGGAGGAAAAAGGATTGTAGCATGGCCGGGCCGTACAGGGGGTGCCTTCTCTCTCTTTCTCTAGTCATGTACACATGCCCTTTAGCATTTAAAAAAAATTAAAAGTTGAATTAATGGAATCAGAAAGTTAGTCATTTCTACCTTGGTTTGATTTCAACCTATTGTTTGGTTTCCAAACAGAAAGATTATACATGGAAGCAAATCAATGGACTCTGGAATATCCTCGGACGAAAGTTACAAAATGGATTATCCTCAAATGGGTTTATGTATAATAATTAATAACAAGAACTTTCATAAAAGTACTGGTATGTATCTTACATCATTTTTGATCCCTTTCAAATATTTGTGCCATTTATATTTCATAGAATATAGAAAGCAGTGTTGATGGGTCATCAGTCAGCCACGATACAGAATGGCCATGAGAAAGCGAGTGGTCAGGACCCCACGGGTCCTGTGACACAGCGTAAACCCTCAACTCTTCTCCCCACCTGCAGACTCTCCTTCTTCCCACGGCCAGTCTCCATCTGTAAAGGCTGGCTTCTTTTGCCTTGACTTTTCTATAAGCCTTGCTTCTTTATCCTCCTGCTCCCTTTTATGCAAATGGAAGGTTCCCAACAAATAGTAAATAGTAGTATTTGTCTTTTCCAGCAGCTGCAGGGAACACCATAGGAATTATCTCACTTAATTTTATGACAACTGTAAGGAGTAGCTATTGTTAGATTCTAAAAGGTTAAGACCCTTGCACACAGGTTGTATGGTCGCAGGCCTGGGTCTTGGGCCTTAGCCAAAGTCTGAGCCTTAAACCACCTTCTGTTCTGCTCTCCATCTTTCTTTGCGTTTATGTATAATAATTAATAACAAGAACTTTCATAAAAGTACTGGTATGTATCTTACATCATTTTTGATCCCTTTCAAATATTTGTGCCATTTATATTTCATAGAATATAGAAAGCAGTGTTGATGGGTCATCAGTCAGCCACGATACAGAATGGCCATGAGAAAGCGAGTGGTCAGGACCCCACGGGTCCTGTGACACAGCGTAAACCCTCAACTCTTCTCCCCACCTGCAGACTCTCCTTCTTCCCACGGCCAGTCTCCATCTGTAAAGGCTGGCTTCTTTTGCCTTGACTTTTCTATAAGCCTTGCTTCTTTATCCTCCTGCTCCCTTTTATGCAAATGGAAGGTTCCCAACAAATAGTAAATAGTAGTATTTGTCTTTTCCAGCAGCTGCAGGGAACACCATAGGAATTATCTCACTTAATTTTATGACAACTGTAAGGAGTAGCTATTGTTAGATTCTAAAAGGTTAAGACCCTTGCACACAGGTTGTATGGTCGCAGGCCTGGGTCTTGGGCCTTAGCCAAAGTCTGAGCCTTAAACCACCTTCTGTTCTGCTCTCCATCTTTCTTTGCTTGTAGACTTTTTTTTTTTTCCC